TGCTGGAAGTGGCTTGGGTCCTTGACACTTTAAAACATTAAAGGTGACTTAAAGCCAAAGGATTGTCTACTCATCTTAATTTCCCAGACAGGGGGCAGAAGTCAGGCGAGCAATCACACAAATCAGAAAATGGACACTGAAAGGTGGAAAATCGGTTTGCAATGCCTAATCTGGGAATCAGCAACAAACCATGGTGAAAGTGTTTGTTATGATTAGATTGGTTAATAAGGTCACAGGAAAAAGGGGGCAGCAATCACTTACAAAACAGACCCTTTAGGTCCCCGCTCATTTAACCTTGCTCCACTAAGCTCCTATTCACCGGAGCATTTAACCATATGTTTAAATGGTTTTGAAGTAATTAGGATTTTACAGGAAATGATTAAATAAATGCTTAGCAGACCCTACTGAATTGCATGAGTAGGGTGATGTTCAGCAGCGTTGAAGCCTTAAACACATGAAGGACTTAAAGCCAGAAGGAATAGTGTCTTTGCCCAGCATAGTTCCTCCAAGCTAGGGCTGTATACCTCTGAGCAGCTGGAGGCCACATGCTCCACAGGTCACTTGAGGTGTGGGTCACAGACTGAAGGCCATTTGCTGCATAAGTAGCTCCTCCTAGGATCTTGTTCACCACACAGGCAGCTCAGCTCCATCCACTCCATGCCTATGGATGCCATGCAGGCACCCTGTCCCCTCCACCACCCAGCACAGGCAGCTCAGCTTCCCCCTGTCTCAGGCAAAACACCCCACTCCTCTCCCGACCATGAATCCACTTGCTGTAAAGGCAACCTGACCCCTCTATTTTCCCTGTGCAACGTGAGCAGTCTGACTGCCTCCCCTGCTGCTCATGCAGAATGAACACCTTGCTCCCCTGGCATTTGTGTAGCTCAGGCACCCTGTCCTCCTCCCACTGTGCCACCCTGTCTCCAGGAGCAAGGGCAAGAAGTAGAAGCAGAGAAGGGAAGAAAAGAGTGACAGTGGGGGGTGGGAACCTGCAGGCCGCATACGAAAGCTTTGATGCCCACATACAGCCAGTGGGCCACCAGCTGGGCAGTCCTACCTGAGCTATGAGCCCTCTGCTTCTTAGACAAGTCACTCTGCCCAGACACACCTTGACCATCGTGGCAAAAGAAACTCCTTCCACGTCCATTTTTATCAAACCACCCCTGGACAAAAGTTCCACAGAGAGTTACCTCTGGTAAAATAACTCAACTTTTGAAAGTCTACATGGAAAGGCATGTGGGTAAGGTAGGAGAGTTTTATTTATAGTAAATCAAGGAGAAGCTGGACAGTGGGGGATCATGCTTTAGGGAGAGCACTGAACTGAATACATATATATATATAGAGAGAGAGAGAGAGAGAGAGAGGAGAGTAATCTATCTCCTATTCATTATCCTCCTTGGCATCTACCATTATAGGTTTAGAGATAACAAAGGAAACTTATCCAACTGTTCCATTCAACAGCTATTAATAGATCTATCATCCATGAATTTCTTTAGTCTATTTTTTAACCTGGCTATGATATACACCTCTACAACCTCATGTGGAAATGAATACCACAAGTTAACTATGTGTTACATAGACAAAAAGTATATTCTTTTGTTAGGTTTAAACCTTCCTCCTCTTAATTTTGGTGGGTGTTGATAGTTCTAGTATTCTGGGACTTGGTGAATGACAGTTCCCTGCTCATTTTGTCCAAACCCTTCATGATTTTTATAGACCTCTATTGTATCCCCCCTCAGCCTTTTCTTTTCTAAACTGAAGAGTCTAGCTGTTTTAAAACTTTCCTGGTATGGCAACTGCTCCTTATCCCTGATCACCTGCGTTGCCTGTCTCTGACCTTTTCCAATTCTACTGCATCTATTTTGACAAAAGATGTTTACTATCATGTTGACTAGTTAACTGCACAGTAAATGTCTCAGCATCTACACACGTGCCCCATTAGGGTGCACGAAAACAATAAACTCTGCAGCAGGGCGATACTTGTAAAATACAAGTATTACTGTGCTGCAGAGTTTGTTCATGTACAGCAGCACATGTTTAGTAGCTGCCCCAGCTGCCTGGGGCACAGGATGGTTCAGTACAGGGCTAGCTGGTAGGCAGCATGCAATGTGCTCTGGAGTTTTTTGCTCTTAGGCACACATTCAAACAGTGGGCCTGGGAGCAAAAAACTCCATAGCAATAACCTCCAGAGTTCATTTGTGCACATTAACTGCATGTGTAGATGCACCTGCAGAGACCAGAACTACCCAAAACTATTCAAGATGTGGGTGCACCATAGATTTGTATAACGGCATGACAATGTTCTCTGGGCCCTCTCAAGTTTTTCCATGTCCTTATTGAAGTGCAGCACCCAGAACTGGACATAGTACTCCAGCTGCGGTCTCACCAGTGCTGAGTACAGCGGAAGTATCACTTCCTTAGCTTTACACAAGATGCATTGGTTGATGCATGCCAGCATGTTATTGGCTCTGCTGTCCACCGCCTTGCAATGTCGGCTCATATTCATGTGATGGTCAATCATTACTCCTAGGTCCCTTTTGGCTGTGGTTCAAGTCAAGCTGTCACCACTGAGCATGTATGAATGTTGAGGGTTGTTTGCCCCCAGATGGAGCACCTTACACTTGGAAGTGTTAAACTTCATCTGGTTCTGGTCTGCCCAACTCTCTAACCTGTCCAGGTCTGCCTGTATCTGCAACCTATCTTTTGATGTGACTTGGTGTCATTCGCAAACTTGACCAGCGACCTTTTTACTCTCCCATCCAACTCCCTGGCCTGTCCAGGTCCACCTGTATCAGAAGCCTATTTTCTGGCGTGGCCACACTGCCCCATAACTTGGTGTCATCCACAAACTTGGCCAGCAAACTTTTCACTCCCCCATCCAAATCATTGATAAAGATATTGAAAAGCACCGGTCCAAGCACAGGCCCCTGAGGGACACCATTGGCCACTTTGCACTAGGATGACACAGATCCGTTCATGAGAACCCTTTGAGTCCCACCATGCAGCCAGTTTCCCATCCATTGAACCATTGAGTAGCTGAGCCCACAATCTTCCAGTTTTCCCACAAGGATATTGTGGGATACTAGAACAAAAGCCTTTTGGAAGTCTAGGTATATAATGTCTACCTCATCGTCCATGTCCAGGTGGCAAGAGACCTGGTTGTAGAAGGAGATGAGGTTGGTAAAACAAGGCCTACCTGCAACAAAGCCATGCTGGCTGTTGTTCAGAATACCTTCTGTGAGTGTATCACACATAGATACTTTAATGAGCTTTTCCAGGATTTTTCCTGGGATAGAGGTTAGGCTGATTGGCCTATAGTTGCCCGGGTCCTCTCCTAAAACATTTCATTTTCCTGTCTCTCCTTGGCTGAAGATTACAGTCCACAGCTGATTTCAGTGGTAAGCAGGAATCCTTACTATCTTTGCAGTGAAGTCCTCCTTGTCCCTGGAGGTCTCAACTTCTCTGTTGCCCTCAGCAAGTTGCCTCTGCCCCACTACTCCAGGCTTCTCTGCCGCACTCCCTCCATCTCCACTCCCCAGAGCTTCCCACCAGCAGGGTCTGTGGACTCTTGCAAGCTCCTGCCTGGCAGGCACTTGCACAGGCACATGCACATGCCATCTTCCTGGCTTATAGCTCCTCCTCCCTGTGCCACCACCAGCTTGTAGAAAGAGCGAGAGTTTTCAGGAAAGGGCCCCTTCCAGACACATCCCAAGGGAACAATGCAGTTAACCAGCCTACACCCAGCCCCTTTGCCATCCAGCCATTACCCCTTTCCCTGCCAGAACAAAACCCACCCAAAGAAACCTTTTCAATATATAAATGAACAATACAACCCCATAATCAACACAGTTAGCAACCTGCCAGTCCTCTGGAGCAGAGGCCATTTGTAACAATAGGTCACATACTCTTGCCAACAGTTCTATAGTTGCACCTTTGAGTTCCTTCAATGTTCCTGGATGAATGCCATGTGGTCCCAATGACTTATGGAGTAGGATACTACTCTGCTAGACACTGTACAAATACAGAAAAAGAAGAGGGTCCCTGACTTGAAGAGCTTTCACTCTATTACTTGAGACATTATAAACGTAAATTCAGACAGGCAGCGAAGCATGAGAACCAATAGTGTACTATCACTTAGCACAGGAGGCAGTAGTTTCGGCACACCAGCTGTCAGCTTTGTTTGTTTGCTTAAAGAGTTATGAAAGAGGAGAATTTTAAAAACCCTTGCATGACAGATCTGCTTTTCTACCTCTAAATTTGCTGCAAAATACAGTGTCATGTTTTATTGCAAACGACTCTGCTTCTTAGAAACTTAGGTCAACCAGTATCTAAAAGCTAAATTTATGCAGTATTAAAAAAAAATACAGCAGATGTTTTAATGTTTAATAAAAATATTTATGTACTACTATTGTAATACTGTTTACTTGACCTTTCTCAGTCAGTTTATTATGCATCATTAAAAACTCCTCCAGTGATGCTTTCAGCATAACTAAATGCTGTTAGTGTACTAAACTCCAGTCAATAATTAAAATATTTTCACAGTGAAGTGCTCTTTAAGAATTGCATTTTAATAAACTCATGAGCAAGGAAAAAAAAGGGACCTGACTGGGAGTGGCAGGATTTTTTTGGTTGCTTTGTTTGTTTTGGCTAGTTTCACTGAAAAAGAAAATGGTATTTGAGAATGTGGGTCAGATTTGGTGACTGATTTCAACCAAGAAACATTTTGGAAATGCTGGAAAGGCTTATTTTGGCATTTTGGAAACAGGGTTGGACTTGTTAGGTGGGATTCAGAAGGGGAAGGGGGGTTTGATGCCAGCTGCAAAATGAAGATAGAGGATAGACAACCTGGTTTCAATTCCCCCTTCTGCTTAGTTTGGAAGAGAGGCTGAAACCCTGTTCGGAAACCCATGATGAATGTCCTAAGCATTGGGCTATGGAATCATGCTTCCCTCCTTGTCCCCCAAAGTATTTTATTACTTATACAGCATGGAATAGCTTCAAAATGAAGACTGGCTGAGACCAGTCCAGAATACCCTGAAGCCTGTTGGTTAACAGAGAGATGCTGATACAGGGAGATGCAACATCTGGTTCAAATAGCAGCTGTTGATATCAGATCATAGACAGCAGGGGTTTGAACGCAGGTCTCCTTTCTGTTGCACGGCTGCAGTTCACCTGCTGTCTACACCACAGTAAATTGCCCCAGGCAGGGAGCTTGGCCCACTGAGGAGAATTTCCTTCAGGAAATCTCTGGGACTTGCTGGGGAAGGGATATTCCAGTATTTCAGCTACTTCTAGGGCATATGCCGACAACTGTACATGAATTCTTGAAAAAGTTATTGCTACATTTAAAAGAATTAGAAAGAAATGAAGGTTTTTCTGAACACTAGATGGACTCCCCAAATTATTCTTGTTTTGGGGATGCCTCTGGGATAAGCAGAATACAAACATTTGCATCGTGGACTTTTTTTCTCCATGAATCTCCTGTCACTGGTACCTCTTTTAAAGCTCCTGCCTCTTTGAACCAGTTAGTCCCGAAAGTGCTACCCTACCATACCTTCTGCCTCTATAAAAGGAAATGCATGTCAAGAGGATTCAATTGTTAACTCAAACATTGAAAACTTTAGAAAAAGAACCCATCTCAACCTGCTGACCTGCAAGCAAAAGGACTGGTCGTCTTCCTGCTTCTTCATAAACCAGAACATTTCATTCAAAATGAAAACAATCTCATATTTCCAGCAGATGGCAATAGAGAACTTCTCAAAGCCACCGAGCACGGGTGCCTGCTTGGCACCTTTCTGTCTCAGGGCCTTTTCTGCACAGAAAGGATCTCAGCTTGGATCATGCCAAATGAATTGGAATTTTGTTTCCAGGGGTCTCATGATAAGGCAGCTCCATTGTTTACAAAGTGTTTGCTTTCCTTCCCAGGAGCCCTGGTTTTTTATTTATTAGAAGTGGAACCCTACAACGTTGAGAGGAAAAGCAAGTTTTGGTAACAGATGTGATGTACGTTGAAGGCTGTTGCAGGTCTCCATGCTTCATTATCATGATCACATCCAGATTTCCTCCTCTTCTCCATGTGCTATTATGCATTCTGCTCAGTCCACACAGAATGAAGGTCTGTAAATCCAACAAGATCTCTCATTTCTAAGGTTGTTTATATCTTATCAACTCTCAATTTTCTCTTGCTCTTCATTTATTGCTTTCAGTTTTAGCAAAAACAAAATAAGGCTTTAAAGCCATGGAATATATAGAGCTTAGCAATGAAAAGCATTTTCTTTCCTTCTGTCCCCACCACCCTTCCCAGCATGACATGGAAGCAGCACCTAGTGACAGCAGTACCAAAGCAAGCCACCCAGCCCAGTACACCCTGTATAAGCAAAAAGAACTAGTGACCTCTGACGGTGACTGCTGCACAGGGTCCTGGCACCAGACATCTTTGTACACCACTTAGGTCCAGCATTGTCAGTGGCCTTCATCAGCCTATCAGTGGCACTCTTGACATGTGGAAATGCTCATAGGATCATTGGATAATAGGAAAGTAGGTCTGGAAGGTACCTCATGTGGTCATCTAGTCCAACTCCCAGCTCAAGGTAGGCTTATCCCTAACTAAATCATCCCAGCCAATGTCTGTCTAACCTGTTCTTGAAAACTTGCAAGGATGAAGACTCCACGGTTTCTCTAGGTAGCCTGTACCGGTGCCTGACACCCTCAAGAGCCATGAAGTTCCTCATCTCCAATCTAAATTTCTCCTGATGCAACCTGAGACCATTGCTCTTGTCTTGCCCCTAAAGCCACAGAGAAAAGCCCATCTCCATTCTCTCTATAATTGTCCTTCAGGTATTTGAAGACTGTAATCAATCCCACCCCCCTCCAAGTTGTCTTTTCTCCAGACTAACCTTAGTTATTTCAGCCTTTCCTCATAAATCAGACTTCACAGGCCCCTAAACAGGTTTGCTGCTCTGCACTGGACTCTTTTCAAACTGTTCACATCCTTCTTGAAGTGTGAGACTCAAAACTGGACACAGTGCTCCATGTGAGGCCTCTCCACTGTTGCAAATGACACTTCTGATTTTCAAATGACACTCCTGCTAATATAAACCAGTATACTGCTGGGTCATATTCATTTTATGGTCTACTGTAATCCCACCTTCAGCATTTGTTTGTAGCCTTTTTATAATAAAGGATTTTATAATAAACCTTCCTTCCTTCCTTCCTCTGCAATGTGGAAAATGGAAAGCTAATCCTAAATGTGTAATCCAATGAACAGTCTTGGAGAAGAAGGGGTTTCCATCTCTGGTTATACAGGTGTTTTGTTACTGACAAGCACTTAATCTTTGCTCCCCATGCCCCCCCCTCCCGCGGTGGGTGGGGGGCACATACTATTTGCACTTTCACCTTTTGCTACCCTCAAAATAAACAAATGTCTCTTGAAAACTTACAGGACTAGATTCTGAACTCAGTTTACATA